CTACTACTACTACTACGACTGCTATTCCGACTCCTGCTTCAGCTGCTTCTGCTTCTGCGACTGACCATTATTAGCACGACTACGACGACGACTACTACCACTGCTACTAACCCGACCACTACCACTACCAATACGACATAATGGCTTCCATAACGCTAGCATGACACATGTTGCTGTGGTAGCAATACATGTAGCAAGTAGTAGTTGCAGCAGTGGCTGAAGTAAAATGTGGCAGCAGCAGCAGCAGGAGGAGTAGGAGGAGTAGTAGTTTGTAGTAGTAGTAGTAGTAGCAGTAGCAGTAGCAGTAGCAGTAGCAGTAGTAGTAGTAGTAGTAGTAGTAGCTATAGCAGCAGCAGCAGCAGTAGCTGCAGTAGCAGTAGCAGTAGTACCAATGGTGGTACCACTAGTAGTAGTGGTGGCAGCAGTAGCAGCAGTCGAGCCGTCGTAGTAGCACGAGGAGGTGGGCTAATAAGAGTGGGGGGTTGAGTCGGAGACCTTCAGGCGATTGCATAAGTCCTGATGCAAATGGTCGGAGTAGAAGTGGGAGTGGCAGGAGTAGGAGTGGTAGGAGTAGGAGAAGGAGCAGCAGCAGGAGCAGGAGCAGTGTAGGAGAGAGCTGCACTGACGATCCTGGCAGGGGCTGCCGGCACAGTTCTTCGCCATGTGCAGCTTGTCGAGCTGCAGCCGTGTGAGATCAGGTTTACGAAACGCTCAGAGTTTGGAAAGACCTGCCGTTAATTTCGATCTATTGTGAACGGATCCTTGCTAGAAGTAATTACTCCTGATATCTCCTGAGCAAGGGCTTCTTCAATTTCTGGTACCACCATGTAGTGTACAACTAGGAAGGTCACAATACTGCTTGAGCCCGGCATAGATTGGCTTCCGGACTGCAGTCATTGACCTCGGGACTCTGCGCGTGCCGAGAGGGAGAAAGGGGTAAGTGTGTGCACTGACGTTTTTGCGGCGACAGGTGTGGCAGTCTTGTCTGAACTGACTTTGCGATAAAATCAGCAACAGTGGCTTGTTGATCTGCTGAGCAATGCTGCCCAGCAATGCAGCTTCCATTCAATGAGTAGGTGTGATTTTCGTACTGTACCCCAGCCGACCTGCCGACCCGCACAATGGTCGACAAGACTGGCGCAGTTGTAGTTACTCGTTTGTACTGGTGTGGATCAGCGCAAAGTCAATTGCCGAATCAGAACATCGCGCCGGAGTCGTGCAGTCTGTTCCAGCTTAAATAGGCCGCATCCACCCATCCACCCTGGCCCAGTATAAGCAGCGTGTCCAAGTATGGTACAGATGAGCGACATACTGCAATGCAATGCGCGGAGTTGGGCTATTGCTCGCTGTGTCGGTCTCTCTGGCAGATGAGGCGTTTGACAGATATCGCTGCTCGGGCCAAGTACAGCTTGTCGTTCCAGGTGAGCGCTTTGTGTTCTTGTGTGGAAGGTATGTCAGCCGGAGCTTGCCCCTCCCCCGGGCCCAGACAGACAGACAGACCAACAGTCAAGCACCCTGTCAGCTGAGCTCTACTCGGCATCAGCGACGGTGGTTGTGGTGGTTGTGATTCTGGCTCTGGTTGCGATTGTGGTTCTGGTGCGTGTTGTGGTTCCTTTTGTTGTGGCCGTGGTGCTTGTGGTGGTTGGGGTTCGGGGTTGTGGTGGCGGTTTTTGTTGTCCTTGTTGTTGTTATTATTGTTCTTGTTGTTCTTGTTCTTCTTCTTCTTCTTCTTGTTGTTCTTGTTCTTGTTCTTGTTCTTGTTCTTGTTCTTGTTGTTGTTGTGGTTGTTGCTGTTGCTCTTCTGTTGTTGCTGCTGCTGCTGCCGCCGCCGCCGCTGCCGCCGCCGCCGCTGCTGCTGCTGCTGCTGCTGCTGTTGGGTGCTGTTGCTGTTGCTGCTGCAGCTGCTCTGGTTGCTGTTGTTGTTGTTGTTGCTGTTGCTGCTGTTGCTGTTGTTGCTGCTGTTGCTGTTGTTGCCGTGCTTGCTGTTGTTGCTGTTGCTGTTGCTGTTGTTGCTGTTGCTGTTGTTGCTGTGGCTGTCGCTGTGGCTGTCGCTGTGGCTGTCGCTGTTGTTGCTGTTGCTTTCGCTGTCGCTGTTGCTGTCGCTGTTGCAGTTGCAGTTGCTGCTGCTGCTGCTGTTGTT